GTGAGGTCTTCTTAATCTCAGGGGAGTACTTGGGGAGAAATTATTCCCTTCTGGGGCAACTCTTAGCAGGATTCCTCTAATTTAGGGAGCCTCTGGGATCATTTTATCTGTGATTGGGATATCCTTGTCCTCTTTAAGCTGTTGATCTTCTTTTAAACAGAAAACCCTGCCCTCCTGGTGAGTATCCTTATTACAATGTGACAGAGAAGCTTTGAAATTTTTTCTTTTCTGGAAAAAAAAATTTTTTTTTTCTCTACTCAGTGGTAGTATGCCCAGGATGCATGAGGCTCTGGGTTCAAGTCCAGCACCAAAAAATAAATAAAATCTTTTTTTTCTTGTACAAATGCACCTGTGGTTACAGAACGCTCAGATGCTACTCCCAGCTCCACCAGTTCACTCACGGCCTTGATAATATGGAACACAGCCGTGGTCCCAGGCCTGTGCTGTGCTCTGTGGAGCGAGAGTGTTCCTGACCCAGAAATGTCTAACTAATACAGTATAGGACAAAATCCATCAATGCTGAGATAAATACTGCAGCAGGGAACGCCGAGGGAGAGCTCAAGGCCAGCTGGACTGGACGGCTGGAAAGCTCCTGGGATTAAGTAGGACTTAACTGGTCCTTGAGTAATACAAGGTTCTTAAAGGTTGTGGCTCTTCAAGTTTACTATGATTTTCTACATGTACCACCTTAGTTTCTTGGTGGGTTTTTCTTTCCTTTTTTTTTTTTGCAATGCTAGAGATTGAATCCAGCGGATGCTAGAAAAATGCTCTTACCACTGAGCTACATCCCCAGCTTTTAAAATTTTTTATTTTTTGAGACAGTTGCCCAAACTGACCTCAAACTTGCCATCCTCCTGCCTCAGTCTCCTGGGTAGCTGAGATTACAGGCATGCGCCACCATGCCCACCTTTCTTAGTTGCTTTGTGTGTGTGTGTGATACTGAAGGGGTCACGCTATGACTGAGTACATCCCCATCTCTTTTTAAATTTTTATTTTCAGAAGACAGGGTGTCACAAGGTTGCCCAGGCTGGATTTGAACTTGTGATCCTCCTGTCTCAGCCTCCCAGAGTGCAGTTGCCTCTTTCTAAAAGATTCTGAAGTAGGTTGAACAGATGTCTCTACTTCACATAGAAGAAAACCGAGGTGAATAGAAATTAAGTAACACAGCTAATAGACACAAAGCTAATAAATAAGTGAGGCAGCACTTTCACCTAAGGGCTTCCAGCCCAAATCCAGCCCTCTTTCCAGTCTCCCATGTGCCCCCAGAGGGGGTGAGGACAGGGTGTAGACAGGTGGGATCCGAAGGAGGCAGCGGCGGGAGCGCGGCCTTGCTGAAGGCGGGAAGCAGCCGGGGTGCAGAGGGTCCGCGGGACTTGCTGGGGGCTGGGGCTCCGCTCCTGGGACTGTGAGCGCTTGTCTCAGCTCCCTGTGCCTTGAGAACCCCCGCCGGGAAGAGGCTCATACTTCTTTCAAATTCCTGACTTTCTCAGAATGTCCTTGTGACAATCTGGGAAGAAGCCCAGGGCGGCTGGAGGCCGCATGGAGAGCAAAGGGCTGTGGTTGCTAGGCTGAGCGCGTGGGAGCCCTGCGCCGGGGCTCTTCCTGCTGCTTTGCAAATTATAGCTGCGAGGCAGCACCGAACGGCCAGTGTGCACTGGGTAAACCTTCCCTGCTCGCTTCAGTGGGTGAATACAAACGTGCACCTGCACCTGGGCCTTTATGACTTGGTGTGAGGCGGCCTAGCCGCAGGTGGAACGGTACCGGACCCCTTCAGCGAGGTCTTTCGTTTGTGTTTTCCCTGCCGTTTACTTCTCTCTCCTGCGTCCTCTTGAGTCTTCCTACCTCTCTTAGAGTTAGGCAGAGGCCGCCGTGGAGGGAGGAGCTGAGAAGGTTGGCGTGGAGCAGAGCTAAAAACCAAGCACAACGAGTTCAGCTTACCTAAGGGGTGAATAAACCCTCTGGAAACATACTCTCCTCCTCCCTCCCTGCCTCCCCGCCTTCCTTCCTTCCTT